AGAACATATAAAAAAGGGGGTGAGGGGGTCTTGGAACGTTAAAAGGCAGACGTGCGGCGACAGCGGCACGGCATTCGACAGAAGTCTGCCAGCAGAGCCCATAACCAGGTGCCCCTGCCTTCTCATCAACACCCTGTGAGCCATGAGGTACGACCCGGAGAGGAGCTCGGCCGAGCGATGTCATCCTTGTGAAGACGCGAAAGATGTCCTGCGGCTTCGCTCCGTAGAATGTGCATCACAAGGATAAGCGGTACAGCCGCTGCGAAGGCTCGACACTACAGTCGCGTGATACTGCAGAGACCCGACGGTGTAGCCGATGGCCGTGCACCTGTGGCGCGACGGACTTCTTAGACGTAACAAGCCTCGAGGATTCAACTCTGGAGCCGCCACCACGTCAGGCCTTGCACCTGTACTGTAAATATATTTTTCTAGGCTGTGTATATAGTGTGCAAGGGACCTCTAAAGCTTAGCTTTCATGTATTCTGCTACTTGAGGTTTTTTCATAATTGTTTGTTTATCTCACAAAAATTTTTCATACTCCTTTCGTTCTTGTGTGTAGAAGCTACGGCAAGCTCCTAATCTGAAATCTCCTCCCAGTCAAAAAGTTGAAGTGGTTAGGGGTGGAAGTGCTGCGCTAATTGTGCCGTTCTGCGCCAGTCTGACCTGCTGCGCCAGGCTGTGCATAAAAATGGTAATTTCCACGATAATTGTTGATTGGAAGCGTAAACTGCCAATTTTGTTGAATATTATCGTCGACCGAACAACACTGAACGTTGGCCGCACAAAGGACGCGGCCGCATCCATATCCAATGTAGTTCGATCACATGTTCAATCATGATCACGTAATTCGCTTCATTCATTGAGCTTGTTCTTGTCTCATCGCTGTTATCGCCGTGGTTTCCGCTCAGAAATGGTGGCACCAACATGAGTAACTGGGAATTGTCTAGTAATGCAGTAAAACCTCGATAATTTGTACATGCCGGGCATGATCCTGTTGCCCAAAGTACCCATCAAAAAGTCTTTTTTTTTTTTTCGTCGAAGTGCGGAAAAGATACTGGGCTTACACTCGCACACGATTGTTTGATAGCGCGCAGTGGCGAAATAGCATTTCGAAATTATTACAGGGTCCTGGATACGCAGCGACTGAGATAGCGACAAAATCGATCGGCTTACTGTGATACATATGTGCGCTTCTCTACCGCGATTTGATATTAATTAAGCGACAACTGAGTTTCATTGAAACACATAGTGGTTGCGTGGGCTCGATCATCTCTTAGATAGTTGCATGCAGCGCGGCGCCTATGCTGCTCGCGCCGTCGCTGCCGGGTGGCTTGCTGTAGTGTGCGCGCAGATTTGCCCTGTGAATTGTTCATTCCCACTTCGCTCCAGACCGAGCATAGATGAGCAGAGTAGCTTGTTTAATTAGGGTGGGGATAACAAACTTTCATCAAATGAAGTGCACCATGAATATCTAGTCGCTGCCGGGTGGCTTGCTGTAGTGTGCGCGCAGATTTGCCCTGTGAATTGTTCATTCCCACTTCGTTCCAGACCGAGCATAGATGAGCAGAGTAGCTTGTTTAATTAGGGTGGGGATAACAAACTTCCACCAAATGAAGTGCACTATGAATATCTAGTCGTCATGAAAACGAGTTATTTCTCTGTCAGCTGTGATGTTTAATGATGGGAGCACAAATGCGTGCTTACCCACACGTAAACACACCTACACACACACACTATTTGTGGGTAGTAAGTCTGGTCAGATCATTAGTACTGAATGTTTAGTGAAAGCCATTGGAATTTTTTTACCAGAAATAGTTTCAATTGACAGTAATGTGTTGTGACCCTAGAAAGAAGCTTCAAAACTAACTTGCATTGCTCTGAAACACACCTTTTGGTGCTCCGAACCTGTTCCAGTACTCCCATTTTGTAGCGCCAAAGCTGCTCCAAAACAGCATTATTTCTGCTCCCTGAGCTGCTCCAAAACACGAAAGTCTGCTTCCACCCCAGAGTGCTCAAATTGGAAAAATACCAATCGGCCACAATTGATTTGCAACCCATTGTAATTTTGCCACCATTTGGAAACGTACCAATTACTTCCGTTTGGTAAATCAGTTCAGATCCAATTAATTATAACCATTTGGATAAAACTGGTGGTTAATTGGTTGACCAACTGATGGAGTCCAAGTGGTCATCCAATTGAAGCTAACAGGTGCCCAAATGGCTAACTAATGAAAGGGAACCGTTGTGCAACTGGTAATCCAGTTAATTGTAAATGGTCTGAAACTAGGTGGTGTTCAATTGTTCAACCAATTGAATGGATCTAGTCATCTATTTAAGGCCAGCTGGTGTTCAAATGATTGGCCACTTGAAGAGAACTGGTGTCCAATTAGACGGGCACTCAAAGGTACGTGGTGTTCAATTGTTTAACCAATTGAATAGATGTGGTCATTCCTCTCATTGCTGTCTCTTGTCAAACTTACCGCCGTTTTCATGAACCGGCCTTAACTTATTGCGGTAAGGCTACTTACCAAAGCACAAGAAAAGTATAAGTGTATGAAAAGTACAAGGTGTGTTTCAGAAACTTTCCTTATCTTGTCATAAGTGCGCCTTATGAAAGGTGTCCTAAACTCGTCTAGTATTAGTCCTGGGTGCGGGTGTACATAAATTTGTGCTACAAAATCATTACCTAGGACAGCAATAAATTAGCTTTACTGTAAGAAACCAATGACAGAATTCACGGAAGCAGTCAAACGCAAATAGCAGAAATGTTTGTTTAGGCTCCGGCAGTTTTTGGTGAAATACTTGTCTTTCGTCTGGCCACTTTTTTGCAACTCCCGTCGACGCAGTGAGGTTGTCGTATCATTTTTGTTATTTCGACGTCTTGCATGTTTTTGCTGTGTTTGGCATTACTGTTGTGCTGCTTTCAGCGTTTGCCTTTTTTTCTCCCTGTTTTTAAAATTTCACAGATTTATTTAATAGTTTCAGCAGTATTACAGCATTTTTTATGAAGTTGCGTTTATTGTAGAACAGTGCACTCACATGAACCTCACTGATGAAGTGGATATGTTCCGACGAATTTTGTCAATAAGTACTAAGATGCGCGCTCTATGCCTTCAGATACAGTGCTTCAGAGAAAACAAGAAACGTGGAAAGCAGCTCCTGATAGAATTCAACAGCCGACACAATGTGCATCCCTGTACGGGCAACCAAACTATTTGAAATGTGTTTTTGTCACTTCAAGAAGTTTTACTGGTGCTGGAAAAAGTTTTTTTGCAACCAAAGCAGGTTATCTGCTGGACTGTATACTCGTGATACGGTCAGCTATGAGACATTGAAAAGGCCATCACTCTCAATTTGAAACGTGCGAACACCATAAAAGCGCAATGTGATGAACAGCTGCATCAGACGCGGCACATAAAACCCAATCGTGGATAGTTTCCTGCATAAACTGTACAGCGAGCAGATTCTTCACGGCACTTTTTGGGAAGCAAGGGCAGCACGAAAATTCTTGCTTGTCGTAGGTTTCCACAGGGTTCCTTGAATCGTCGAGGACTCGTCGTGGCAGTGACAACTATGCATATGCTGTGCCGTTCAATATTTATTCTTTGCGGTCCACATAATCGACAGAATACGCAAAGTTGTCATCCCCCACCATGTTGTTTAAAGCCTTAAGGTAGGTCATAGACTACCTTCACTGGGCCTTACTTAAACGATAAGTACAGGGTAGGCTTTTGAAATGTGTTTAGGGCGGACTTATGGCTAAGGTTGACTTAAGTCATAAAGATAAGCTTAAGTTAGGTTTGTGAATATGGGGGGTTAGACACCTTTTGGCTCGTACTTTTGTTGTTGAAGCGACAACCTGGTACACAGCAAATCTTGGGCATCATCGCTCATGGACACCATCCGTGGTTTTGCGCACAATTCTTGCAGCTGTCGGTCACTCAAATTTATAATACAAGGAAAACTGAACGCCGATTCCAGTAAATTTCTTGGACTCCCAGTGTCTCTACTCAGCAAAGCTCTCTTCAAAGTCGTTACAGAAGAGCTTCGTGGTCAGAAAAGCATTGAAGGACTAAGTTGTATTCAGTTTTGACTTATGTGTCTTTTTTACTGCTATATTGATAAAAAATTAAGTTATGTAAGCTAGGTGTTTTAATTTTCTGTGAGATTACATTTCTGTCATTCGAAATGCAATAGTCATATACTGCCCCACTTTCTTTACTAGGACCATTCAATATATAGGGCAAGTGGTTGGAGTGAGTTATTGTGACAGCAATTGTATGGACGGACACTCTCTAAGGGCTTTTGCCGTAGTCGTTGCCGTCATTTTCTGTATAAAGTCCAAATCAATAGCATCCCCCCAGGCATGGTATGTTTAACCTAGACTAAAAGTGTGCAAGTGTAGCGACTAACACGGCTGAAGCAAAGATCAGACGAGCTAGCTCATCTTCGTTGCTTGAAGGGTGCATGCGATGACATCACCCAGAGTGCTGTGAGGCTTGCCATTTAATGGTGCTCAAGCAGAAGACATCACCCAGAGTGCTGTGAGGCTTGCCATTTAATGCTGCTCAAGCAGAAAGGGAATGTCCCGCCTTTCTCGAAGGAGCATGAAAGGACATGGGGAGAAGATCGTTTGAGCAGAATTTGTCAACTTTGCATCAAGGGCACACGTGCTGTCTGGGCAGGTATTGGCACACGGTTCGTATACACTTCTATGTGCTGCGCTTTCAATCAGAAGAGACTGTGCAAGAACCGCTTCTCTCCCTGAAGCATCCGCATTTTGTTTTTCCAGTATTTTGTACAGTTACGTGAAACCTGATCTAGAAGAGTTAGCTGGCAGCTTCACTTTGTATAACATTACCATTTGTTGTTATTACATTTATTGCTTTGGCCTTGTGTGAAACTGGGAATTTTTTTATTGAAGAAATTGTAAGAATCGCATAAAATAATTGATTGAGAAAGCCACCCATGGTATTTGTTTTTTTTTTTTCCTTTCTCAGGTGCAAGTTTCAGGAGATGAAACCCCACCTAGCAACAACTACCTGTGCAGTTTGCGGCGACAGGTGCGGGAAGTGGATAGGCTATGGCTGAATGCCTGTCGCGCTGTTGTGAACGGAGATCCTGAACCGATCAGCCGTTATCTAAGCTCAGGTGGAGACCCTGCACGACAGCTGACTCATGTCGAGGCAGGGCTGCTGGCTCGTTCTGCCAACTTCGATCCAGGCTTCACCCTTGCACACATGGCCATTCGCCAAGAGGTACAGTAATTGTGGCTGCTACTCTAGAATGCTAGTCTTTGGGCACATGCCTCTATGAGCTTACAAGCTATTGGCTGCGACATCAAGTGGAGTTGCATCCTGGCGTCAACTGGTAGAAGCGCGCAAGTGTGGATGGCTCCATGCGTTGTCTGCTAGTCACGTCATGTTTATATGTGAGTGTATGTGATGCACGTTTTCAAAGGGTGGTTTGTCCGGTTATGTCAGCGCGAGTATAACTGCTTGTACGTATGCCTGAAACGACATACGAAATCATTTGTCCCTTCTCCGCTGCTAATGCATTGTAATAAGATAGGCGAGTGCAACTTTCCAGAGTGCTGTTTATTGTCGTCGTACCCTCCATTCACCAAAATAATTTCATAGTGGGTGCCACTTTCTGCTTCGCACATATAAAATGTTCTTGGCGTCCCTCAAACATGAGGACTATGAAATGGTGTGTGAATGCAACATTTTAGCGACTCGGTTGTAAGCAAAAACGAGGCTCTAGGCCATGCCCTTCTGCACATTCGTGGGTGTACACTATGACACAGTAGTTTATCGACTGTGTGAGAATCCTTGGTTGTTTTTATCTGGCCGTGGTACCACCACATAGAATTATTACTATTGTATAAACTGTGACACAACGGTACTTGCACTATGCTTAAAACGGAGTTGCTGTGCCCAACCGTGTGCTTAGATTCAAGAACGCTTTAAAGAGCCCAGGCATTGAAAATGATTCAGACGGTGTGCCTTATATTTAATGTTTTATAATTTCACTGAAAATCTCATCTTTTTTACAGGTTTCAGCGTTTGCGGGGCATTGATGAAAAATGGCCGACAGAAGGCAGCGGTCATTTTTCATCTGAAAAGAAAAAAACATGCTTTTTCATAAAATAACCAGACCTTTGTTGTAGCACTGTCATGGATGTAATTCATCGATGAAAGCTTTCTGCTGAACGCTTACAGAGTTTTTATACTTCTACTGGTGCAAGAACATGTGCGTATACGTGTAAACGCAATGCAGCACAAATTGCTGTCAGCGTCAAGCTTTCTTGACTAGACTTATCGACTGTCCCACATTTCATGGTGAACAGAATGAGAAAAGTGGATGTATTATGCATATAAGGTGCGAACGTTGGTACTGAACTCATCGCATAGATATGCGGGCTTTCCGCAGTCTTTCTCTTTTTTGTGTTTTGTATGCAGATGAGAAAGAAGTAAATAAGTATTTCCGTCACGCTGCAGCAGTGTGTAGCAGGTGGAACTTGAGCTAAACATGCACAAAAAGCACAGCAACAGTGTGATTCCGTGCGAAAGCACGCAGACAGTCACACAGGGCGAGCATTCCTTTCAAAGGGACAATGCGCTTTACTCGCTCGTAATAGTAACGTTGCAAAGGCTTCTACACTGATTCAGTAGAGAGGAGCATAGATATTACCAGTGAACTGCACTTAACGCATTTTATTCGCCAACTATATGAAGCGCCACTGTGTGTATTTGTGTGCACGCTGCCGACCGCCCAATTTCGCCGCGAATAGTATTTACATTTGGGTACACTGAAGTATTTGTTTTGCAAAACATTTATTGTGACAGCATAGGTTCTCAAACTGCCAGGGGTTCGCTGAAGGAGATTTGGGGTTCCGCAGGTGGCCAGAACGAGTCCAACCCGCTTCTGTTTTACCCCATAAGCAACTAATTTATTTATTCAGACAAGTAATTTTTCAATGCATTTTGTACTTAATGAAGCCGTTATTGACATATTATAAAAGAGCAGAAATGTTCACAAGACTCATATAGGGTCATTCCAAGTGAAACGTCCCAGCCCAAAATTTGACCACCAGCGATTCTGCTGAACAAAAAATTTAGCTGAGAAGTAACTATGTGAGAGTGATTTTAGGGAAGTATTTTTGTTAAAAAAAACTGTGTGGTCACGTGACCGCCCTTTAAATGTGCTGGCAAAAAGGAAAACTATGTATTTATTTATTTCAAGCTACCTTACAGGCCCCTGGGGGGGGGGGGGGAAGCATTGAGTAAGGGGGGCGATACACTAGATACATGTACATATACATATGGAGTTGGCAAAAATACATGAGGAAAGATACAATTGCAATATAATACAGTGGAACTTTGATTATACGTCCCCCGGTCCTGCGACGACCCGCGTTTTACGACGAATTGGCTTGGTCCCGGCAAAACCCCCATAGAACTAATGTATTGAAAACCTCAATTCTACAACGCAATTTTACGCCGGCCCCGTCTCGTACGACGCTTTGCTGGACTGTCCAAGAAAAAGAAGAAAAATCTACGATGACGCACGCAGGCACACTGCGACCGAGTTCGTTCCTCCGCACGTTCTAGCGCACTATCCGCGCTGCCACCACAGGGCCTCTTCAATTTTTCGATACGCTGTCGACCATAGCTAGCCAGAGCAAACGTTGTCCAGAGCCAGCCTGAGCGCATTAGTTTTGCTTAGTCGCATTGCACTGCGCACTTCCATTGGGGCCTTTTTTTGTTTTGCTTTCTGCCTTCTTTTGGGTGGTTTTGTAGTGACAGCTGTGAGCAGGTAACATGGCAGATAATTTCGAGCTCGCTTTCTAGTATGCGATAACTTTCACTAGATTTCGCGTAGTTGTACCGGACGTGTTGAACGGCGATTGTTGAGCCTGTCTACGTTTGGGATAGCCGCGGGAACCGGAACTAGCTGCTGTCTAGCTACCAGAGGGCTGGGGAGTTTTAGCCCCTCGCGATTGGTCGAAGCTTGCGCAGACGTACGCCCTTGCAAAAATTGAATGGGCCCACTGCCTTGTTGCCTTCGAGCCATTCCTTCATGTGTTTGCCTCATCGGTGGGTTGTGCGCCGCAGCTGCTGCGTCTACGTGCAAAATTTTCAGTATTCGGACATTGGTGTGCGAGGAAGCTTTCGAATTCTTGGTTGCGAGTGCTGCGTCTCGCAATGTCGCAGAACCGAAAACCGCTGACGCTTGGAGAAAAGCATCGCATAATTGAGGAGGCGGAGAAGCGGAGCGGAGCAACAAAGGCCAGCATTGCCTGCGACCTGAACATTCCTGAGTCGTCGCTGAAAACGATCCTCACAAAGAAGGACAGCATCCTACTAAATGCGGCAAAGTTTGGCCTGAACAGGAAGGCCGCGAAAGATGGCAAACATGCTGCCATGGAGACGGCCCTCGTTGAGTGTTTGCGTCAGGCCCGCAGTTCAGGAATTGTCGTGTATGGCGCAATGTTGAAGGAGAAGGCGGAGACAGTTGCATTGCGCTGCGGCATTGATGACTTTAAAGCCTCCAATGGCTGGTTGGATCGCTTTAAAAAACGCAGTGGAGTTGTGTACAGCCGCTGCTGTGGAGAGAGCTCGTCAGTCAGCTCTGACACTGTCGAAAAGTGGACTGCATTGCTGCCGGAATTGATATGGCAATACAAGCAGTCTGATGAGGACGAAACTGGATTATTTTATAATATGCAGCCAGAGCAGACATTAACATTCAAAGGAGAGAGCTGTCACGGGGGTAAGCGAAGCAAAGAGCGTTTTGCTGTATTGCTTTGCACTAATGAAGACGGCTCAGAAAAGCTTCCTGCCCTCGTGATCGGCAAGTTTGCGAAGCCACGATGCTTCAAGAATTTGAAAAGGCTGCCGTGCCAGTACATGTTCAACCGGAAAGCCTGGATGACGGCTGCTATGTTTTCAACATATCTGCAGCAGCTGGACTCAAAAATGGGGGGCTAAAAACAGATTCTTCTTCTGCTTGACAATGCGCCATGCGATTCATTAGATACGTCGCATTTGAGAAATGTGAAAGTTACATTTCTGCCCCCCAACTGCACTAGCAAGCTGCAGCCACTTGACGCCAGCGTCATCAAGTGCATGAAGCAGAAATATCGGAAGTTTCTGGTGCAGCGTCGGCTGGCGGGCATGGAACGCAAGCAGTTGGATAACAAGTTTTCTGTGCTTGATGCAATGCACTACATTGCTAGTGCATGGGACACAATCACGCCAGAAACCATTGTCAACTGCTTCAGGCACTGTGGCTTTAATAGAAGTGGTGCTTGTTCTACCAGTGAAGCTGCAGTGCCTGTTGATGACGAACCAGGGTTCGGCAACCTTCAGCTGCCTGGATCCTTCGCTGACTATGTTGGTGCCGACGACGACATTGCAGTGTGCAGTGCAGTGTCGCTGGATGACATTATCGAAACTGTGCGTTCTTACACTGCGGGAACTTCTGACGAGGAAGAGATGGATGACACTGCAGAGGCTAGTGCGTCCGTTACGACGTACGTGGATGTGTTGTGCTACGTCGATAACATTCGGCGGTTTGCTTGCGCACGCGACGAGATCGGCGACTTGCTGCCAGATGTCGCAGCTCTCGAAAGAAAGCTGATGCATCGTGGCTGGGCAAAATCACAGAAAAAAAATCACAGATTTTTTTAAAAGGTGAGAATAAAGATTTGTTCACACCTCCGATAAAATGCGTGGTTGTCATTTTTTCAAGTAATTTAATCTACCTTCATCGGAGCAGCGTAGATTTGTGCCGCGGACTTTCTTACGCATTATGTGACAACTTTTGTGGCAACAACGACCATCAGTGCCTATATTCTTGGTTTTTCGATTATACGACGCCCGGATTATACGACGATTTTGCGTGGTCCCCTGAAAGTCGTATAATCGAAGTTCCACTGTAAATGGAAAGCATTATAGATAAGTATATACATGTAAAGATGACGCACGCATGCAAACAGTAAGCGAAAATGTGCGTTTATTAAGCACAAGAAGGGAACGCTTACATGTCACAGCTGCAACAATCTTAAAGCGAGTTCATGTTTTACAAAATCAAAACTAATACCATGTGCGATGAAGATAAAAAAAAACGATACATTTCATAGCGCCAATACAGCGGGGTGAATTCACTTAGCGAGGAAAAAAAAGCCGATAGGTGGGATAACTGCCAGTCAGAAATAGCTGATCTGATGTAGCATACGAGCGATTTGCTTTGA